TGCCAACATCTGAATAGCGCATCCCTGTGCCCTAACGGAGATTCTCTGGGTCAGTCTACCCTGCATGGCAGGAAGGGAAAGGGTCCGGGAGCCAAGTGACAAAATGGTGTGGCCTTGTGTTGGCTCTGGCATTCTCAGCCAGGGCAGCCAAGAATCTGGCCCAGGTGACATTACAAAGGTCCACCTGATGCTATCTCTAATACAGTCTGAACCTGGTCATTCTTGCTTCGATTACTGCTACCATTTTTTTCTCAGAGACACTCCTTTTAGCTGAGCATCCAGAACCATCTTTCCTCAGTTCTCACGTCCTCTCTCCTGTTGCTGGCAGTTAATATGGATTAGTTTCTGGTCCTCTAGGTCGTATCTGGTGCTGTCAGCTTGGATTCGTCCAGCAACCCTGACAGGTAGAGAGGCTCAAATTCCTTTTTTTTTTTTTTTTTTTTTTTAGCCTTGCAGCTGCAGAAACCAGGATCCAGGGAGTCCCATGACTGTGTTACTGATTTCAGAATTGGTTTGGCTACATAGCACGGAGCTTCGCTCATTGGCATATTTGTCCCTTTGAGTTCTGGATCTGAAGTAGCTACCCTACAAGGTCAGTGCCTTTCTGTTGGTGGTGGTGATGTTGGTAAAGGAGATATTTGCGTTTACTCCACTTTTTAGAAAGAAAACAAAAACCAACATTCTCAATCTTAGCCATTTTTTTTTGTAGTGTTGATAGAGGTTCCCACATTTCTGAGTAGCTCAAAACTCTCGTGAGAACAGGGTTTTCTCAGTGTTTGTGTGTGTATCACTGCATCCTTTGAGGGACCTTGAAGGGTACGTTCAGTCAAGGTCTAGAGCGAGCTGTGTGATGCTGCATGAATCAACTCATCTGATGAGGGGGAGGAAACACCCTGGTCAGTGTGAGGACTGCAGCTACAACAACTGGGCTTGTCTGGTCGGGCGAGGGCTTGACTGGGCACAGTCCCCAGGGCTGCTTCTTTGTGTGTTTTAACTGAGCACCTACTAATTGCCAAGGGCCATCGCATGCACTTGGACAGTCACTACCCCTTTGAACTGGACTCATGTTTAATTTGGGTTTTGTCTGGGGAGAGTCGTTGAGCATCTGGAATGGGATTAAAATAATCTTAGAGCTCTCTTTTCCCTTCTTAAAGTTTCAGAATTTTATTTCCCAGGAGAGGGTATACAATTGTTTGATTTTACAATTTATGATGATGGAGGATTTTTTTTTTTTTTTTTTACATTTCTAAGCACTTGCCAAGGATGTGTGTTCTATGGAGAGTATACATCAGGCTGGAATGAAAGTCTGCGGTGAGGGCTGCCGAGCGGGGAACGGGCTACAACATTAATAAACTGAGATGATAGGGGAGGGGGTGGGGGAGCCTGGCCTTTGTTGGAAAGATATTAATAGGGATAATGCTTACATTCTTAGCTGAAGAAACTATTTGATCTCCTGAGCGTGGCCCTGGTGTCTCTTATGATCTGTATTCAATGTCAACCCCGCCCCCCTCCACTCAGAAAGTCATTTGTCAAATCAAGCGGTTGGAAGTTTTTACAAAGTCCGGAGTCTCAGAAAGAAAGACAGGCATGGCTGGTCCATAGGCAGCTGGACTGAGGTGCACTGAACAGGCTGGGAAAGGCTCTGTGGGCTGGGACCTCAGTGGCCTGTCCAGAGCTCTGGAGTGCTAGCTGCTGGGGTCTGAGCATCATGGTTTTGGTGGGCAAATACAGCATTGAGAGATGATTCATTTGACCTTGATGAAGTGCCTGTTGCATACCAGGCCCAGAGTGAGGCACTTGGAAACCTACTTCTCATCTGATAATGACCTGGTTAACCAGAGTGCAGGATGCTTCCTGGAAGGAGTGTGGTTAGGGAAGGAGGGGAGGGCAGATGGAGAGGAGCCTCACTCTGCCCATAGGATCCACTCTAAGCTGGAGTCTAACTGAGAAGATGGACAATTGTTCATGGCAATATGGGCAGAATGCACATCTAAAAGCCATTCTGGACTGAACCATTTGGACTAAAATTCCTCAGCCTTGAGTAAATCAGGTTGGAGGTATGAACCAGAGAGCCCTGTAAAAATACCCTGCCAAATTTTCGGAACTAGCACATGCCATTTCTTAAGGTAATGAAAAACTTGGTGGTTGGTTTTAACAGAAAAGAGGGGATCCCTGTGTCGATGTCACCTCTCCTGATCTGCCTGGAAACTCCACCCTAAACCTCTAAAAGATTCCACTCAGATGGAGCCAGGCAGTAACCAGCAACTGCACGCCACTCATGAAAGACATAGAAGAGGCTGATGATGTAAGGAATGGTGGGCTGGCCAGGACCGTTCTGTTCCTGCTTCTGGAATGGTACAGGCAGTCAGAGGACAGAGGGGCCAAAGGGGCCAAGGCCCCTACCACCTGCCCCATCCCAATCCTCACAATTATGTAGTCAAGTTACACAGAGGGGGTTTCAGAGAAACAGACAAACAGGAGGAAAACATGACATAATTGTTTGGAACTGGAAAGCAGGTTCTTTAAAGGAAACACCAATGGTGAGAACAGGAGGTCTGGTGGTTGAGGCCCCACACAGGTGTGACAGTCTGGATTAGGGTTCCCTGATGAGTGTCCTTGACATCATCTGAAACGCTGTGGATGAAATGTCTGATTTCTTCTTCAAAACTGCTTTTGGAGAGCGGGCAGTTGTCACGGCATTTCGCTGCCTCCTGTATCAGGGTATCTGAATCAAGTCCTGGTTCCAACTCCTGATTCTAGCTCCCAGCTAATGGATACCTTAGCAGGCAATAGGTGATGGCTCAAGTGGTTGATTCTCTGTCACCCAGCTAGGAAACCTTGACCGAGGTCCTGTCTTCAGCTCAGCCCAGCCCTACATGTTGTGGGCCTCTGGGGAGTCAATGAGTAGACAAGGGCTCTGTCTTTCTGCCTCTCAAGTGAAAAACAAAAAGACGATCTGTGCAGAAGACACAATCTGACAATACTTTACAGTTGGGCAAGCTGGGTCCAGAGGATTTCCCAGTTTGTGGAATTAAGCGAGACGTAGAAGCAAGCTTATATTCACTGAACTGGTAAGATCTGAATACTTTGGGACCATGAGAGAATCAGAACTAGGCCTGGTATTGAGACCAGAGAGAAACACATCACAAGAGATATGTAGATAATCTACTCTCAAAAGGCAGCACATGGTAAGTACCATAGTCTATTTGGTTCTTCATTTCCAAGTGAGTGCAGAAGTGGCCAGAGGATCCTCAACCTCACCCCCTACCCTGTGTAACAGGAAGTAGGGGGTTACTTTCTACTTCTGGTGCTGAAATTCCTGGTTTATAGAAGGATGCTCTTCCTCCCTAGGAAGGGGAGCTGGCTTTTCCATGGACAGAGCACAGGTGGAGATGAGCACGTTCTTGTGAGAGACAGATGGTCATCCCATGGAAAATGGTTTCCAGTTTTTGGGAGTCACGCCAGCTCTGGAGAATAAAGTAAGTGTTTAACTTGACCTTCCAAGGGAGACATGACAAGGTCTGTTTTCTTGTAGGGTCTGTAAATCAACCCCATTCCTAGAAAGAGATTCCAAAAATAGTTTGGCAGCAGGCTTGAAAGAAATCTGTAGAGCTTTGGGGACAGTGCTCATTGGCAGGAGTAAGTTCTGATGCTTCAGTAAGTGATCAATTGTGCTGTATTATTTCCCAAGTTAAAAATAAAATCCAGGAGGCCAGAGTAGATGTAAAGTATAATTTGCTGGTCGAAGTGTGCCTTGATTTCATCCCTCAGCAACTCCATTCTCCTGTGCACTGGACAAAGTCCTTGGAATCATCCCAACTTTCTCTTCCTGTCATTCTTCACATCCAATCCTTTAGGAAATACTCCTGGTGCTTCCTGTTAGGTCTCCTCACAAGAACACAGCTTTTCAAAGGCTCCTTGCAGTATTCGGCCTCCCACTTCCACCCCTGCCCACAATCTGGACAACTTCAGCAACCATTGCTCTACTTCTACTTTACTCCCCTAATCCATTCTCTACCCTGCACCTATGTGGCAAGCCTGGATGGCAACTTCCCTAGGATACAGGGCCAGGGTTCCAGCACAGCTGCCTCTTTCTGGCAGTACTTGGGAAAGCACTTCTCCCACATCCCAACCCCCTGGGCCTTCGTTTTCTCCTGGGATGGGAGTTGGACTGGTTGAGAATTCTTGAGATGTCCTCTAACTCCAAGATTCTCAGTGCCCATTGATTCCCTAACTACCTGGCTTCTTGATGCTGGTGAACTGTAAGGAGGCTTGGCCACTATTTCTGAGGGTGCCTTTGAGAGACAGATGCTCCTTTGTGCTCTGCTCCAGAAACGTTCCAGATTCCTGGGAGTGTGGTTTCTCTTAAGGTGAGTGAGCATGCAAGTGGAGTTGTGGGTGTGCATCAGCTGGTGTCACCACCAGGAAGATGAGAAGAGACTCAAGACCTGGAGTCTGAGGGTGAGAGCAGGAAGAAGCAACAAGTTATGATATATAGAAAATTCTTGAACTCTTGGAGAGGAAAACGTTTGAATGGACCTGAAGGATTCTTAGGCAGACAAAACTGAAGAGGTCAGTGGTTGAGTCAGGAAGTCAGTCCAGAGCATGAAGTCAATGGCAGGCATATGCCATAGACCAGTAGTTTCCAGTCTGTCATGGGCTGAACTTGTGTCTCTCCAAAATGCATAAGTTGAAGCCCTACCTGCTTCTCTTGGGATGGTGTTTGAAGATAGGGTCTTTGGGAAATCATCAAATTTAGGTGAGGTCATGGACAGTACATTATGTGATGTGATTGTGCCTCCATCAGAAGAGAGAGCTTGCTCTCTCTCTTTCACCTTATTACAGGAAGATGCAGAGAAAAAGTGGTTGTCTACAAGCCAAGATGATCATCACTAGGAACCAGCAATGCCATCGCCTCAGTTCTTGGACTTGTAGCCTTCAGAACTATGAGAGAATAACTTTCTGGTGTTTAAGCCTCACAGTCTGTTTTGCTTTGGCAGCCCTGACTGACTGAGATGCACTCCTCATGTTTACAGCCTGGAGAAACTAACTCTTGCATGTATGTACCAACAGGTAAGGGTATTTACAGCACTGTCATTCTAGTGAAGTGCAGGGACACACTGAACAGCCACCAGCAATGGCAGAGATAAATAAGCAGTGGCATCTGAATACAGTGGAGCAAGAGATAGACTTCTTCCAGCTGATCAACACAGATGACTCTCCCAAGCTATGCAAGACGAACCCATTTAAACAAGGATCATAGTCAAACATAGCTTAATAATTGGTCATTGTATGTATCTGTGTATACACATCTATAGCACAGTTATTGAGAAAGCAGGCCATAGTATTCAGGGGAGGGCTGCCTTGGAGAAGGGGGTTGAGGGCGTGGGAATGGAGTGAGCGACAGGTGCACTCACAGCTCTGTGCTAGGCTGTGTGATGGGAATACGAGCTTGTCTTACCATCCTTTATATCTTCTACAGGGTGTGATGTGTATTATTATCTGTCTCTATGAAATATTTCATCATTAGAAAAACAACTTCAGCAATGAAACAAAACGTAATAAAGGCAAAAGTGCTGGATGTAGGCCAGCCTGGGCTCTGCTCCAGGATTTGCTGCTTTGTTAACAAGGAATCTGGGCCAGGCTCTTCCCTCTGTGACGAAGGACACCTCTCAGTGGGGATCTGAAGATAAATCTGGGGACCAAGAGAGAAGGGACTGCACACAGTAGGAGTGATAATAAGGAAGGTTAGTGAGAAAGGTCTACAGAGGTGCGAAAAAGGCTTGTAATAGGGAATTGGCATATGAATGTCTGTTGAGTCCCAACTGCTTCACATCCTACACAGCTCCCTGGTAATGCACCTGGAAAAGCGGTGGAAGATAGACAAAGGAAATGGGGCCCTGTACCACATGGGAGACCAGGAAGAATTTCTGACTTCTGGCTTTGCCCTTGTTCACCATTAGCCATTGGGGCTATCAGGGAAGTGAACCAGTAGTTAGAACATCTCTCTCTCTTTCCTCCCTGTCTCGCTGTAACTTTGCCTTTCACATAAATAAACTTTAAAAATATGCTTTCAAGAAGCTAATGTTGGCTTAGTGGTTGAGATGTGGCTTGGAATGCCTGCATTCCACATGTAAATGCACGAACTGGAGTCCGAGGTTTTCTTCTAGATTCCAGTTAATGGGCAACCTGAGAGGCAGCAGATGATGCTTGAAGACTTGAGTTCCTGCCATTCATGTGAGAGACTGAGATTGAGTTTCTGGCTTTGGGCTGACATAGTCCTGGCTGCTGTAGGCTTTTGTAGAGTGATGGATGGAAGATCTCTCACTGTTTCTACATTTCAAATCAATTAAAAAGTTGTTTTTTTCTTTCTTCTCAGGAAATACTAGGCCTTGTGAGAGTTTTCAACAGTACCAACTGACTGGCACATGAATCTTTGTAGGTTACAAGCCATCTTTCCTTCCTAGCTGACAACTCCATGAAACAAGTGAGAACATACAATTTTAAAAGAATGAGTGGCCTAGAAGGAAAGATGGTAACTCTTTTTAGATCCACAGCCCACAGGAGAACATGGTGGTGGTGGTGGGGGGTGGCGTTCAGACAGTCCATTAAATCAGATCAATGAAGGGTATCTCAAGAAGTTCATGGGAAATTTACCTATCTTTCAACTTTCTTTTTTTCACAAACTTTTTGAAGCACCCTCACATTTGATGGATATATAGGAAGCCTTAGATCCTCTTCCTCCCACCCAATGGTGACTAACATTATCCTTCCTGTGAAAATGCTTACAAAATTGGCCACACATGAAACAATGGATAAATCAGTAACCCACAGATGACTCTTCTGAATACAGTATAATTAGGTTTGTAACTAATAACAACAAGGTAATACACAGAGACACTGAAATTGAAACACATTTCTCAATAACTTGGAAATCCAAGATAAATGATGTAAACTTTGCTAAAGTCTATAAGAAGCTAGTACTCTTGGCCAAGTCGAGGCAGGCCTTGGAGAACTTTGCCAGACTGACAATGTTTATCCTTGTTCTTTGCCTTTTAGGATTCACCTCCTTCCTCTGAGCTTTAAGTGGCTTCAGACCAACATAAATTGCATTTTTTACTCTTATGCCATTACATCTCACCTGAACCCACATCCCTCCTTTTTTTCCTCTCAGAATTTCCCAGCTGACTCTCAGAAATGAAGAGACCACACACTTGGGGAAGGCTGGCTGTGGACCCGGTGCTGGTGTTGGGTGCTCAGATGATTATAACATAGGCTGTGCTCATAAAGGGTACTAGGTGGAACGGGAGAACAGAATATTATTGTGTCTGTTTTATATATACAAATGATTATTCATACACATATACATGCATAGACACACACCCAGAGATGTAATATCCGCCACAATCATATACAAGGAAGTCTTCCAAAAGTTCCTGGAAAATGCATACTGTGAAAAACCTATGCACCCATTTCAAGGGTTTTTGAGAACAGAATAAACCTAAGTTGTTAACTCTTCCACAAATGTTTCCGAAGCACACTGGTACAATCACAGGGCCATGTGGTGATGGACCTCATAGAGGGTTCCAGAAAACATCTTTGAGATGAAGAAAAGAACAGGACAGAACATGCATGGTGTAGGTTAGGGACATGGGAACTCAGCATAGTCAAGATAAATTTTGGGAGGAAGGGGCAGTTTTTCAGGAGAAATGGAGGAGGGCCAGTAGGATGGCCTGGGAACAGGTTGATGTGACCAAGCCTGGTGATTCTGGCAGGTGCCCTGGACCCTGGGGTGCAGCATCTAGGACACAGGTGGGACACAAGCACTTTCTCCTTGCCACTCGAGAGGCCTTGAATGCTGAGGAGACACAGTCAGAGTCACAGAAGAAAGGCGTTAACACGGATTTCCAGGCAGGGAAGTGACAAGAATGGCTGCTGGTTGTTTTACAGAGCTGTTGCTGGCAACGAAGGGGAAGCTGAGCAGGAGGGAGGAGAGCAGAGCTGCAGCGCAGCCAGTGAGGAGGCCACTGCAATGCTCAGGGTGAGGGTGATGAAAACATGATAAATGGATTCTGAGATGTTGGAGACTGATACTCAATGTGTTAGCTCTCCCAGGAATTTTTGTATTTTGACAGAGGACACTATCTTAACCCAAAGGAATGAAACGCTAAATGATGGCAAGTGGTTGGATGCTGACAGGCTAGCAGGAGAGAGTTTTGGGGAGCAAGGAGTTTAAAGGGGATCTCTGAAGCAAGTACCACATGTAGGTGGAGTCACAACATCACTGTGCTGCCTTCTACACTGTTTCTGTTTGTGGTCAACACCAATGGGAGTCTAGGAGGTATTAGAAATACTGTGCAATGCATTGAAGTCGAGATTATTTAAGAATGTAACTCAAGTGGATTTGAGAAAGAAAGCTGCTTTTCTATATAGATGATTTAAGACTCATGTGAAGCCAAGAGATCCTGAGCATTCGCTATCCTCTGATCATCCAGCAGAATGACATGATGGGTGGGAACCTGAGCCCAGGCCCAGTCCAAGGCAGGAGGCTCTTCTGAATCAGCCTGCACATGGACACTGCGTCAGGACAGAGGGGGAAAGCTTCATGCTCTGGAGGAAATCCCAGAGCTACGTGTTCTGGTCTGAGATCAGAACTCTTGCAGAAGCAGTGACTGCAGCTCTGAGCAATCATTTTTCGTCCTGGCTGCTGCTTGCGTGGACAGAGGAGGTGTTTGGCCACTGTAGGACTGGAGCTCATGGAATGAATGCACTTCTCTGTAAGGATGGTGCCTGGATTTAATTCTTTTTGTGACGTGGGGTTAGGTTTTTCTGGGTCACATTTTTACGTGGCTGCCTTGTTACCTACACAAGGCCATTATTAAGACAGTGGTTCAGTCTGGAGACTGGGGGCTGGGGAGAGGAGTGTCCATATCTCTAGGCTCTGACCCAGCTGAGCCACCCAATATTCTTACACTTGGCATGACGTCTTATACACACATGGCCCAGTTTTCCTAGGCTCCTCTCCAGGTTGGCATGGGATACCTCTTCCCCATTCCTACATGCTTAAGACACAGATGTGACTAGGACAGGTGTGTCCAAAGTCAACAGAGTCCAAAAAGAAGGCAGCTTAGAGTTCCTCAGGGTCTAATTTCCCTGGGTGGGGGTGGAGAGCAGCACCACCAGTTGTGCAGTGGTACTCGCCTCCTGGATGCCCTAGCAGGGCCCAAGCACTAGCAGGACCAGAAGGCACTGGATGTCTAGGTGGTGATTCCCAAGAAGTTTGGTTTCATCCTGCAGGTGTCTTGACTCTGGAATTAGCTTATCCTTGTGGGCTTGTCCTCCACCAGATAAGCAAATATGACAGGAGGTGGATGCTGTGGGCTGAGGCCTGGCTGCTCCTCAACCTGTGCAGACTTCATCATGTCCTAACCAAGAGCAGGATAACCTCTGCCATCCAGCCAGAGGAAGTAGTGGTGGCTGGCACTAGTTCTCCAGGAAGTTAGAGCCTTGAAACAGAAGCCCTGGTTCTGTGCTTGGCTCAAGTGGGAGGGATGATGGGATCAGTGGAAGATGGATTCCCAAGGTTGTAGCAGGTCTTCTGGAAGCAAAAGATGACAACAATGTTCCCTCATTTGAGATAATTAGAAAAGTGTTTTGGGTTGGCTAATGGTTTGAGAACTTCTGTGAAGATTCTTGACTGTTCTGGAATCCTGATGATGAACATTTGAACTACAATGTTCAATCTCTTTTGTGAAGAGACTGGCAGAAGGCATTCAGCCACCAAAACCTACTACTACCTACTACTGCCACTCACCCCAGCACCCCATAATCTCTTTAAATCATTTATCTATTTGAGAAACAGAGGGAGAAAGAGACACATAAAGATAGAGCGCATTCCCACTACTGCTTCTCTCTCCAAATGCCTCAATGGCCTCTAACTGGGCCAGAAGCAGAGAACTAGCAACACAGTCCAAAGCTCCCATGTGGATGGCAAGACCAGCTTCCTCCCAGAGTCTGCATCAGCTGAAGTCATGTGACAGAGCCTGATCCAGGAATCAAGTCCAGGTACTCTC